GGGGGGGGTGAACGAACGGCGGAATGAGCGAGTGCATACATAAATGATGAATGAGAAGGTTGAAAGTGTCGGTTAGTGAATTAACAGCTGGAAGAACCAGCAAGTTAATGCAAGCGAGTGAAAGAATGAATAAACAGATGAGAATCCATCGTTTGAACGAACACGCGGAGCAAGTGAATAACAAACGAGTGGAAAACACGAGCTAGCAAGTTGTCTTCTCTCGGGCGTCTTTCCTCCAGTTTTTAAAAGTGCGGGATGCTTTTTAAAAAAAATGTAAACATTGTTGGTGTGATAAAGCAGCCACAATACGCACGAGAGAAATAAAACTCAGTAGGGGATCAAAGGCCGACACTCATCCCCTCATCTCCCTGTCCGTTTTGTCTTCCTTCTACTTTTCCTCCGACTTTCATCCTTGATCTGTGGAGAGAAAGAAAGTCACAATCCCCCTGTTTCTCATTCTCTCTCTCTCGCTCTCTCTCTCCTTTCTGTGAAGTATTCACTTGACTCAAAAGCCTTTTCAGTAAAATGCAAACCCTCTCTCTCTCTCTCTCTCTCTCTCTCTCTCTCTCTCTCTCATTCCCCATGGTCAGGGGAGGATGTTGAATTGGATTTGCCTGGTGTGATTTGGCCGGGGCCCCATAAGCCACTTTAGCTAAGTCTGTTACCCACAATTCTCTGTCTCTCTCTCTGATCTGCGCCTTTGACCAAGGTGTGCATCTGTACGATTGCCTGCACCTGTAAGTGGCGTGTGTGTGTGTGCGCACATATCCGGGTGTGTTTGCATCAGTGTGTGAGCAAAGACGGGGGTGTCAGATGAGGTGAGTGTGGTTCAGTGGAGGAAGAGAGAGGAGGAGGAGGAGAGAGAGGTCCTAAACAGCAGACAGTGGTTCTACAGTGGATCTAAAGAGAGGGCTTATGGGGGTTTTGTCAGCTCGACTCTTTAACACCACGCCGTGGAGACTGCTGGCCTCAGCTCAGCCGGGCCTCGGACCCGTCGCCGCGGTGAAACAGTCACCGGATTGCATTTGTTATCGGAGGGAGGAGATGTTTTATCTTTTCACTTAATCGCCCAGTAATATATATTAGGTTGTTTACTGTCACCTGAGTCGATGGGCTGGGTCGCTTTATTGGCTACTACCGTTAAAGGAAACCCATCAGTCTACATTCTGCTTCAGAAGCTCCCTCTACTAGTGGAAATATTACAACTGTGTGTGGATCTGTAGCAATGGAAAAGTTTAGCTGAATATCTGCGAGTACTGAAATAAAAAGGCATTTTAATTGTTTTAGATGATGACACCGATATTAAACCAGCTGACTGTGCTGCTACAGGACTGCAGATATTATTACAGTCAGTGGACCCTTTAACTCCTTACGTATGCAGAAAAAAACCCACCAGGTTAAGAGCTCATTTATTTATTTATTTATTTTTTGACTTTACGTTTTTGGCGTTTGTCGTTGCGGTTGAGTAAAAATACCATACCGCCTAAAACCGAAGTCCATGCATTGATTTTTAAGACCAGTAGTAATAGAACACATTTGTTGCTGTGTTTCTGTTGTTTTTTGATACATTCACTTTTGAAGTCGTGTTTAAAATTCATGAATGGCATCTCATCCATGTCGACTGTAAACAAGCTGGATTTAAAGAAACGAGACCGGAGGGGAGGCACTGAAGCGCTGCCCCTCATTGAATTCTTTCTCGTTCGCTGCTCATTAATACACTTGTGCTGGCCAACTACTACAGATGAAGAGTGGAGACCGACGCTCCTCCGTTCACCTAGAGCATCCGGTCCTTGTCTCTCTGTCTTTTTCTTTGTGTGGCTCAGAGATGTCACCGGACGGTCTAGCTCTGCTGTGTGTGACCTGTGGCTGCTCTGCACTGCAACAAAGGAAATCTAAATGCTCTTTTTTGTATTTGATGTACACTGCTGTAAAATCCTCCAGGGCCACCGTGGCCCACATAAAACTGAGAGCTGTCAAATTCACAGAGAGAAGGCCTGTGACTGGATTGGGGGGGGGGGACTGGATTTATGCCGCTACTCCGAGAGGCCTCTTACTCGAGCTGCAGTTCTTCAGCACTGTGTTGGTTTTTACTCTCTTTGGTCCGACCTGCTCTGTTCTACTGTCTGCTTTTCTGGTTAGTTTACCTCTTTACACAGTCAAAGCAAAGTGATGAAAAGTCACGGAAGAACACAGAGAGCCTTGTGACAAATATATTTATGCAGGTGGTATGAAAAACACCACACAGAAAAACAAGCCAAACAAACAAAAAGCAACAATCTCGTGACTGTTAAATCCAAATGAGCACAGCGACAGATACTGGAACAATAAGGCGATGTGGCAACAGTGCGTCCGCTGCTCTACTCCATCCTATTCTATTGTTTAATAACCGAGCAGAGGAACTTTTATTGCAGAGTTCAAAGCCCAGCCTCCTGCCCACACACACACACATACACACACACACAAAGTGCTCCGTGCTGCTCCATAACTACCTCCTCTCCCACCCAGTATCTTCACCTTGCGGTGCCCAGGAGGGGGTTGTGTTGTCTGGGCCACACCAAACTGGGCCTGAGGAAAAGGCCCCGGTGCCTGGATTTATTGTCTGTGTGTGTGTGTGTGTGTATCCGTCCGTCCATGTGTTTGCGGATGAGCCTGCATGCAAGGGTGTGTACCCGGATTTATTTGTGTTTTGTCCAAGGAATCGGCTGAGGTCGAAGTGTCATTTTATTTCCATGCGTCTGTGCACGTGTGGATTGCATACATACATTATCGGCGCGTGTGCATGATCATGTGTTGGAAAGCATGTGTGCAAGAGGTGTGCATAAGCAGGAATTTGCGCCGGGTCTGTGTACAGTTATGCGTCTGCAGCAGAGTGCAGATGTTTTGGTTTGGAAAGAACAAAAATCCATGCATTTATGGTCATTTGAGTGCGTGCGTGCAGGCTGCAGGCACAGGTGGACGATAATTGCGAGTTGATGTCAGTTATGGATCTGTCCGGTATGTGCGGTTCATCTGGAAAACCGCAAGCTCATGGCTGCCCATGGTGTGAGTGGTTTTAACCTTCC